ATAAAAGCGTTTGATACAATTTATGTGTAAACAGAATTTCTAATAATTTTTAAATCAATTTTAATTTAGCTCCATCGAAAAACTTTTCTAGAAAGCAAATAAAACATAAAATCTTATCGAAAACGTATTTAACTAGCATTTGCCATCCCACTTTTTATACTATTGCATCATAATAGTTTTGTTTGTATCACCTAAAAATAATCGAGTTAGATAAAGGATTCTAATATTATATATATAACTGATCAGGTTGACGAGACGAGTTGAATTCCGTTTGACTGTCTGTCTGTTCGTCGGTCCATCTGCGCAAGCGTTAACTCCAGTAAAAAAAAGATACTCATACATAACTCAAATTTGGCACACCTATTTACATTTAGGAGAGCCACCTGTGGTTTGAATATCTTTCAAAAGGGGGCGTGGCACCCTAATAAGTTTAATGTATATATCTTCCAAACCCAAATTTGCAGAGGAGAAATATTTTTAACCCTTTTTATGATAACGTAAAAGTATGTGAAATCGGTTGATAAATCCGCCCACTCCCAGTATAACGGTTTTGTTAAAAACTACTGAAAATGTGATAAATCAATAACTATATGCGTCAGAGGCATTACACTTTGCACCCAGGATGGCACAAGAAGGCTTTATAATATTATAGGTGTCAAAGTTGGACGATGGTCTTGGCACCACCCACTTTTATTCACTAATATCAGAATTTTCGAACATCCGGCTGACTTGAACCCATTTATGGCGAGTATGTTGTTCAGGGTGTAAGTTGTATGTTTCAAAAGTTGCTTGAAAATATGTTCTCAATGTTCAAATTATTTCAATCTATTCCTTCAATATACCTCATATGATGATTTCCGGTTTCCGCCTGACTTTTGACCATTTAGGTTGGTCAAAATGTGTGATATTTTTGTAAAATTACGTGTTAGTTTACTCAAAAATTAGTGATTTAGCGCTGTATTAGAATGGAGTTGGTCTAGACCTTAGTCTAAACCTCATATCCCCAATATAATGAGTACCGATCTTTTTGTTGACGTTTTCCACATCAACTCAATATTTGTATATTTAGCCTCTTCGATTGAGTTGATCTTTCGCAACTTTACACCCGAACTTAGCCCTTCCTTCCTTGTTAATATTATTTATATTCAATTCGGCACACAACCGCTTCGTAGGGAGCCAACTGGGCAAGTAAGCCGCGATGCACTACATTTTCAAATTCGTTATATCTTTCAAATGGAATGTCCAAATGAAATAATGCAAAAAATTATATAAAGGTATTGACTCAGAACCATTATTGCGTCGTAACTATGAGAGTTAAATTTTTTGTAGAATGATATGTTCTGTAAAGTTGTAATACACTATTTAGTTTTATAATCAATAGCAGCGCACGCTATGTAAGAAATTTTGAGGTAATTGTTTGACATCTTGGGTTATATTATTTACGTTTTAGTAAGGATTCCTAACTTTTTTGAAAACATAATATAGCCCATGACCACCAGAGAGAGTGTAGCTTCCCAAGGGTGAAAGAATCTTTAGGTAGTTTCGGAGCCTATTCAATTCAAAGAATCAAATATTTCTCTTTATAATGTTAGTATGAATTACACTTTTTTAATATTTATACATATATATGCTGTATATACTTTTATTACCAGAATTAATTACAGATACAGCATACTTCTTTGTCATTATTATACAATCAACCCAAATATCAAAAAATAAAATAATGAAAACAAATAATAATTCCTTATACAAGTATAACAGCCGCTTGTAAGGCTTTTTTCCTTTGAAGGGAATTTTTTGATTTATTTGACATCGCAAATGTAAAATTTATTAGAACTCTTCAAACATTTAAGCTTCCTATTTTCTATTTTTTTTTATTTTGCTCTTTAAATTCTTATTGTGCTTTCCACATTGTCTTTCGCCCTTTTCTGACTTGTTTGACCCTTGGATTATTATATTTATGTAGAGAGTTTTTCATGCCATTTCTATTGTCTTTTTTGATTTTTTATGCGACACCTTTACAAGCCTGCATTACCGACCATTTCGTATTTTGCTTTTCTGAATATTTTGAATTTTATATTTTCTTTTTATTTTTTGGAAATCACTCTTGATATAATTAATTATATTTTATTGAAAAGAACGTTGTATTCTTATTTCAAATAAGATTATTAATGCTCAAATTGATTTGTAAGTCTTCAAAATAGCAGCCAATTTCGGAAAGCCAAAACTCCACAAACTTGGCAAGTACATGTGAATGAAATTCGAACTTTTGGCCTATGAAAGTTTTCGCTACTTTTTGAAACTTTCTTTATTAAAATGCAACAAAAACTTGAGCACTCTTTTAGTAGCACATTGCATTATTTTGTTACTTCTTGTTAAGAAGTATTCGGCTTAATGAAAAATATCTCACAAAGCTTATGTCACAAATGTGTTCACCTTATACCAATAAATTGTTCAGAAGAAAATTTTCGCAAAAATTAGAAGTATTTGCAGACATTCGAAGGTTAGCATATGAAAGACACATAGAAAAACAAGTAAGGAAGGGCTAAGTTCGGATGTAACCGAACATTTTATACTCTCGCAAAGTCAAATAGTATACTCGTTTGAGATTTCTTTGTGGATTGGCTGATATTTTCGGTAGAAGGTCAACTATAGGCACTGGGGTCCACATATTTAGTACTTAGGGGCTTAAACAGTTTTGGTTCGATTTAGACAATTTTTGGCCACAAGGTGGCATACTTTAATCGCATTATTCACGCAAAGTTTTATCCCGATACGGTCATTGTTGCCTGATTTGCATAGTGGAAAGTGAAATAATCAGATGGAATTTAAAATGGTGTTATATGGAAAGTAGGCGTGGTTGTAGTCCGATTTCGCCCATTTTTGCACTGTGACATAGAAACATGAAAAGAACGTTACGCACCGAATTTGGTTGAAATCGGTTAAGCAGATCTCAAGATATGGGTTTTCACCTAAAAGTGGGCTGTGCCACGCCCACTGTCTAATTTTGAACGCGGTTCCTATAAAGTCATCTATACCAGAGATAAAATTTAATGACTCTGGCGTGTTTAGTGCTTGATTTATCGCGCTTTTAGTAGTTTTTAACAGTACCGTTATATGGGGAGTGGGCGGAGTTGCCACCCGATTTCAACTATTTTCACACCGTCAATAGAAGTGCTAAAAATATTTGCTTCCAGTGAATTTTGTTATTATAGCATTAGCGGTTTAGGAGATATGCACATTAAACCTATTAGAGGCGGGACCACGCCCACTTTTTTAAAAAAAATTTTAACTGCAGATGCCCCTCCCTAATGTGATCCCGTGTACCAAATAACAGTCTTGTATCTTATTGCGGAGCTTAGTTATGGCAAGTTATTTGTTTTTGATTAATGGCGTTTTGTGGGCGTGGCAGTGGTCCGATTACGCCCATCTGCAATACCAACCGTCTCACGGTACCATGAAACATGTCTACCAAGTTTCATAAAGATATCTCAATTTTTACTCAAGTTAGAGCTTGCACGGACGGACGGACAGACGGACAGACGGACGGACAGACGGACGGACGGACAGACAGTCACCCGGATTTCAACTCGTCTCTTCATCCTGATCATTTATATATATATAACCCTATATCTAACTCGATTAGTTTTAGGTGATACAAACAACCGTTAGGTGAACAAAACTATTATACTCTGTAGCAACAGGTTGCGAGAGTATAAAAAAATATACGCTAGATAATAAAAAATATGGAAGAAACTATAATCATCCGAAGAGAAATATACATATATTTAAATTTATAGCGATAAATATGCCGAGTTTGACAAGGATTCTCTTTTTCTCTTTTGTGAATTTTTACCGTTAACTCAGTGTATTTGATCAGCTTATGGAAATATTACATTTATATGTAATTACTATTTACTTCAGAAATACTTAAATTTTAAAAGACAGACCGCCACGACTTTACATACAACAGTTCACTTTATTTTTAGCATCTGTTACATTATATGAATAAAACGTTGCCTACCTACTGGCGCAACTGGAACAAATAAAGTTATATTGTAGCGAAGTCGCGCACCAAATAAGAACAAAGTAACTGAGCGTTCGAATGTTACAGTTCTGGCAGAGAATGTTGAGTACTCATCAACATTCTCTGGTTCTGGACATATTTTGGTTTTCTAGACGTTTAATACGTTCAAAAAATATGTTAACTAAATGGCCCTATGATTACAAATCTGAAGACTTACACCATACTTGTATTACGATGTGCTTGTGCTTGGGTCGAAATAATCTAGCTTAGAATTCACATTTGTTTAATAATTGTTAATAAATATATTTTAAACGATTGTTTGTCCTTTTTTTACTTTTATACGTATGCATACAAAACTCTTTATCAAGAATAATTTAATAAAAATAATCCATTGTGTCTTTTAGAAAAATAAAATGAAATATTGCGTGAATAAGCTTTTCTGTTATTTCATTTTCAGAAGCATGCTGCAGCAATGCACTGAAGCTTGAAAACTGTAAATGCAAGAAGAAATGAAAAAAATGCTAATAGTGAAGTCATTAAATTATATTATAAATGTTTGAAACGATACTTAACATGTTTACTTAAGTAATGTCATGTCATTTGCTAAGAAAATCACAGTCAATTACTTTAAATAACCTGTTTGCTATATACTCAAATTACTTTTATATAATTAAATTTACTAAAAATTAAACGATTTCACGCAACATTTGCAGTGCTGCTTTTATAAATATACTCTCACTGTTTTTAAATATTTGTTTCTATGTATGTATATGTGTATACCTAGGAATTTAATTCTGACTTCCATTTTATTTTATTTTTTTAACCGTTATTCTTATTTTAAGTTTTGTTCGATGTATACATATGTATGTATGTGTGTCTGTATGTATTAACGATAGTAATTGAAATCAGAGGGGTTCAGTGGTTTCGAAGGGACGCATGTAAACGCAAGTGTATATTTAAGTCTAGCACTTACCTTGAAAACCTGGCGACAGAGGAAATTCTCTTTTACCGGAAGCAATCTGTAATGAGAGAGAATAAATAAGTCAAATAGGAAGCTAAAAGGAAACATGCAAGAGGATGGTGATTGAGTAAGGGACACACAAACTAACAAAAAAGTAGAAAGTTAAATACCTTTCGGGTTTAAGTAGAACCGGAAATGTCTGGAAGGTGGTCAAGTGCAGTAAAAGGTAGAAATATATGAGTGTTCGCAGATTCGTTAGGAATTTGGTGAGATGGTTTGAGACATCCTGATACATTGAAATATGCAGAAAGTTGAGCGATATTAAGTCGAAAAGGCAAATACGAAAATTTAGAATTATTTGAAAAGAAGTTCTAGATGACATGCTAGAGTTAGCACTTTATATTAATTTCTAAAATTTAAGGTATAGTGGTTTCGTAAAATTGCGTTACAATATTTGATGTTACTTCAAATTGAGCAAAGCTCTTCATTTCTTATCATATAACCTCAAATGTTATGTTTCAAAATTAGGTAAAAAATTATACTTAAGAAAAATCAATTTTGTTTTTCCACTAGTCTTAAGAAAGTTATTTAAAAAAATTGTGATTTATTTGTATTCTCTTTTTTAATTTCTCAAATTTACATTAATTTCACTGTTTGAAAAAAATCTAACGTCTATTGTAAAGGTTTCCATGTACTTCCGATTCAGCTATTGTTTAAACGCTTCACAAGTGAAACTAATTTTCGGAATATTTTAAAATAGTATACCCTGAGCAGGGTATTCTAAGTTTGCCACGAAGTTCGTAACATCCGGAAGGAAACGTCGGTGACGTCGATACTCAAAAAAGTTTTTATACGGGTCATGCTTAAATTTACATGTCAAAACATTTATGGTTTTAATTTTGTATTTATTATTCTCAACCACAGAGTGAACAATCTTTCTTATTACATTTTCAGCAATAAGCTGAGCACACAGCGATGTGAAGCGCAAATCACTTTTAGGTGAAATTATGCATTCAACCTGATATATTTATACTTAAACTTCATCCTAACTCTGTTATTATGCTCTCAGTCTTAGGTAATTGTTTTAATAGAGGATCAATAGAAAAAATACAAATTTCGGCTTAAATAAAGCAAAGTTCGATGTTCTATTTAAGAATTTTTTAAAATATTTTATGTTGACCCAAAGTTAACTTATTCGCTCAACAAAGCTAAAATTCATCACAAATTTTGAGTAATTAGGAAAAAGCCACCAAACTCTGAGCAGGCAACGTCATTACAAGCAGTCACACTCAGAACACTCTTTGCGCTTGCCGCCATCTTGTCAAAATAAATGTGCTTCCCATTGAAATAAATGTACTTCCCATTGAAATATTTTGTATTTATTTACAATGAAAACAACAACAAAAACACAATACAAACAACGCCTTAATGCATATTTACTCACTTGGCCATTTCGGAGAGCTGCAGACGTCCATCCTTGTTGGCGTCGAAAACTTGCAACTGCAAATAAAAACGAGAAAAACAACGGAAGATAAGTAAAAAAAATACTGTAAGAGAAAGTAGAAAGATAGGAATAACTGTGTGAATGCAGTTCTGAATACAAATTAGTAAATTTCACAGTGAGTTTGTTGAAAACATTAATTCTCGGATCTCCTCAACTTATGCAATCATTTAGCTTAAACAATAGCTCGGCTTTAGTTGCAGCACGTCAAGAGTTTACATTTCAAATTACAATAAGTTGCAAGTATTTCAACACTTCGGAATATTTTCGTTACTTGTGCATTACTTATGCGCTGCGCTTGAGCGCCTGAAATTATGCAAATTATAACCCGCTTTATGCTTCGTTTCGCTTCATTCACCAGCGCTCCCTTAAGGTCACCTCAAGCGCTCCCAATGGTAATGAAATAAATTTTATGCTATTGCTACAATTACAATAGCGCGTAATTTGAAACACCTTTTTTGATGCACGGTTTTATGACGAGATTCCATGGCACATTGTTGTTATTGTATTTGCGACAATTCAAATCACTATTTGTAACTTTGTTTTAGTTCCCACCTGAGCGAAGTAATTTTGTCTATTTTATTCGCTACGGTTTCGGAAAATCTGTGTCTCGCCAACCATAGTTGTGCGCTGATTTAACCCAGCTTTTTAGTGAATCTGCTGTGATTTAAGGGATTATGAGTTTGTATTTCCGTTAGCTTAACGGGAATATGGGGTAAAAAGTTAAAAAATGTAACTAAGTTTTTAAATTTTAAAATAATATATGTAATACTAAAAACAAAATAATTATATTGAAATATTGGAAAAAGTTATAAAAAGTATTTGCTTTGTTAAAAAAAATTAATTATAATAAAATATTGGGAGAAGTTATATTTGTTTTGATAAAAAAGATAATAAATTTGTATCACTAATTAACTTAAAATATTTATTACTTAAAAAATGTTTTTTTTCATATATTTAATGCGTTACTATAAAAATTTAAATACGAAACAATTAAAATTAACAAGTAAGGAAGTTCTAATTTCGGATGTAACCGAACATTTTATTTTCTCGCAAAATTTTATATGGAAGGAAGTATTGACCCGATTGAAGTAATTTTTGACACAAAAACATACCATTATCGGGAATTTTATTATATCAATTTCAGTTATTAATCTTACACATTGACCGATAAAAAGATCTTTAAAATAATATGAAATTCATAGTCTAAAATGTATTTCTGATTATATAATATATGCATTATAAAATATTGTTTTTTATCTTTCTACTTACATATGTAACTAAGTTTGTACCAAAATTTTTGGTAGACAAAAAGACAAAAATCATAATTCCTATAGATCAAAAATAGGTCAAAACATATTTTTTGATAACAAAAATTCTAAATTTTTGAGATTTTTTGTTTCTTCAATTGGAAAAGTTCAAAAATTTGTTCATAAGCATTTTAGTTTTTCTCTGATCGTAATGGTTACAAAAAATTCTAAGATTTTTCAAACTTTAACAATTTGAGTTTTCCAAAAAATGTTTTATATATAAAATTTTGTTTAAAATTCCAAATTTTTGTATCCGTATAAAATTTTTTTAATATTGATTGCATGTAGCAATACTGTTTTTGGTACGAAATATTTATTTTATTCAATATAATTTCCCTTAACTTCAATACACTCATTCCAACGATCATCCAATAATTTGTGCCATCCCTATGATGACTTTCCGGAAGCTCTGCAAAATACCGGTATACGGCTTTAATAGCTTCTTCGGTCGACGAAAAACGCATTCCACGAAGAAATTATTTCAGGTTTCTGAAGAGATGATAGTCGCTGGGAGCCAAATCTGGTGAATACGGTAGATGTTAAGCAACTCGTACTTTATTTCGTTAAATTTTGTCATTGTTCAAACACCTTTGTGAGCAGGTATATTGTCTTGATGAAAAATTATTTTTTATGTATTGCAAACCAGGTCTTTTCTCACGAATCGTTTCATCCAGCTAGATAATCAATCAACAAAATTCCTTTTGCATCCCAAAAAACTGATGCCACAACCTTCTTTGCTGATCGTTGTGACTTCACCTACTTTGGAGCTGAACAACCAGCTTCAGTCCACTGTAAACGTTTTTGTTTCAATTTGGGATCATGGTGGTAGATCCAAGTTATAAAATGACGCAAGAAGTCGAAAAAAACTCTTAAAGCCTAGTACGATCACGTTCAAATCCACCAGCCCAAAATTCAACGGTGCGTTTTGCAGGTGAGGGCTACTTATGCATTTCTAACAAGTGTTCATAAATTTCCTTTGCTTTTAAACCTTTCAAAACAAAGAATCTAATCACTAAAAAATACATTGACACGTCTACTTCAAATGGCTTGTAAACAAAGAATTAATTGACAGAATGACTTGTAACTTTGCATGTGTTTTTACGACAGATATACCATCTTGAGAAAAAAAATTCTGGATCTGGTAGTGCTATCCCTTGGTGAGACTAACCAACTTTTCAACCAACCTGTACATCTAATATTATTTCATTCGAATCCCTTTAACACATTTTCGGGACTACTTAGACTAGCATTAATAATAGAAGTCAAGCAACCTTTCTATTTGCAACATATACTCCTAAACTAACTATTTTATACACTTTTATATTACTAAAACCAGCTTATGCTTACATATTTAGCTTGGCATATGCTAAACTTTATATTTTTCTTTCACAAATACACATATTTATAGAAATAATATATAATACCAACATATTTCTGTATTTCGTTGTGGTTTATGCATATCATGCAAATAAATTTGTTTTGACCTAGATCGCATTTAACTGTTAATTTAATTTAAATCAAAATTCAAAATAATTGGAATGCATCTAATCACTAATGCATTGGTTTTTATTTTTTTACTATTTTGAAATATTGAGTGAAGGCACAAATCCAATTACGCTTTGCTTTGTTGGCAAAAAATTCATCACCTACAGGCAGGATGCAAGCATGTGTCCTGTCACTCAAACTGTCTCTGCAGTACGCAGACATCTCGCTTTCTATGCACATTTACACGCAGCTTCTTGCTTAGGTGTACAGAACCATGGTACAAATGTTCCTCCGTGAGTTTTGTATAGTTTAGTGTTTCTATGTTTTAACCGCATTTTGCTGACATAGCAAAAATTGACATTTGTGCTCAATTATAAAACATCAAACTTGATTGTTAGAAAGTAATGTCCTAATGACAATAGAATCTGAAATATAACATGCCCGCTAGTTTAAGTACATGACTACCACTCGGAAAAACATGTTTTCAGAATGCGTGCTAGAAAAATTGTTTCAGCCACAGACAATGTCTAACCTCGAAATTTCTTATAATATAGTCACTAGAGTCCACTTTCTTCGCTTTTGGCTTATTGCAGTGATTAAAATCTATTTCAATCAATTGACGGGCTTGCAACTAAAATCTATAACGGTCGACGCTCGGCAGATAATGCCCAATTTCCAACAAGTTTAATATGCAAATAAGTCACCAAATTTATATGCCCTTCAGTGTCTAATCAGCAAGCAATTAGCAAGTTCCTTGATTTGTTGTAAGTAAATACAACATCAAATTACACAAACTCTTAGATGTGTCTAAAACAAACAGTTTAAAATACATCGTTGACCTATATACCTCGTAAAAGTGAAGTATCAATGAGATCAGGAAGTTCAAACTGCAAAATAATATTTATCTCTTATTTTTTATTCTATAGTGTTTGCAATGTTCCTAAAATGAACTTTTATTTTCTCACACATGTTCATGGAATTTAAGGTTATGTATAAAAACAAATATTTCCATAACAAATTATGATAAGACCCCATATAAAGTCAGCAACGCGTATATCGTATATTTATGAATTCAAAAATCTTTAATTAAAAAAATGCAAATTAGTCCAACTTTTGGCAAGAATTTTATACACCTACTTGTTAAATTGCTCGCTTTGACAGGGGGTGAGAAGAAGCTAAAAAGCGATAACAAGCCAACTACCTTAAAATACATATTAATAAAACTGAAAGCAAGTGATTGGCAGGCAAACTTTCAAATTCGCGATAAAGTTAAAACAGAACACAAAAAAAAACTAACTTAACGAAATACAACAAAAAGGAGAATTAGGACCATCAAAAGAAAAGTATAAGATTATAATAGAATAAGTGAAAAACTGCAAAAAAAATACTGTGAATATTTGAGAATACGCCAGATAACGAGGACTTTTTCCTCAAATCTATACCCCCTACACGTTACATACTCATAAGTACTTTATTCGCATTACTAGTTTGTGATGTAAGTTTAGTGAATTCCTAGATTTCGATGCTTATTATACTCTGACAAAATGTTGCACAGAGTATAATAATTTTGTTCACCTATGAGTTGTTTGTATCACCTAAAACTAATCGAGATAGATATGGAGTTATGTATCATTTACATAGGTATATAACATATATCAAGATAGCGAGAAGAGTTGAAATCCGAATGAGTCTGTCCGTCCGTCTATCTGTCAGCGCAATCGATAACTTGAGTAAAAATTAAGATATTGATGAAACTTGGTACACATATTTCTTGGCAAGTAGCAATGGTATAGAAGATGGGCGTAATCAGCCGACTGTCACGCCCACAAAACGCCATTAAACGAAAACTTGTCATAGAAAAGCAATAAATTACGAGACAAAATTGTAATTTCGTACAAGGGATCGCAATAGTAATGGCACTTGTGGGCTAAACATTTTTAAAAAGTGGGCGAGGCTCGCCCTCTAAATGTTTGAATTTACACATCTTTCAAACCACTGGAGGTATATCAACCAAATTTGCTGAGAAAAAGTCTTTTTAGCATTTCTTTATACACTGTGAAACTGAGGAAAATCAAATAATAAACACGCCCACTCCCCATATAACGGTGCGATAACTGAATAAATTTCACAGCCAGGATGGCAAGAAAGGGCTTTATGGGAGCCAGTGTAAGATTGGACAACGGGCGTGGGCACCGCCCACTTTT